GACTTCAAAATATACTATGAAGTTATAGTAATCCAAACAATGTGGTACTGGCATAAAAACAGACATATAGACCACATGAAGCAAAATAGAGAGCCCAGAAAAAAATCTACATATTTACAGATAATTGATTTTTGACAAAGCTGTCAAGAACACACAACGGGGATAGGATTGTTTTTTCAACAAATTTCATTGGAAAAACTGTATATCCACATGTAGAAGGATGAAATTTGCTCCTTGTCTCACAACATATACAAAAAATCAGCTCAACATGTATTAAAGATTTAAACACATGACCTGAAACTATAAAACTACTAGAAGAAAGCATAAAGGAAGAGCCACGTGACACTGGTCTGATTTTTTGGATTTGACCTCAAAAGCACAGGCAATTAAGAGCAACAATAGACAAATGGTATATTAAACTAAAAATTTTCACACAGCAAGAGAAACAATCAATCAAATGAAGAGACAACCGACAGATTGGAAGAAAGTATTTACAAACTTCACTCCTGATAAAGAGCTAATATTCAAAATATATAAGAAACTCAAACTACTGAATAAAAAGAAAACAAATAACCAAACTGAAAAATGGGCAAAAAACGTACAATAAATTGCTGTTAATTCAAATGGCTAGAAGAGAGGAGCTCAAATCTCTTATCACAAATAAATGATATGTTTTGACAATGATGAATATCTTAATTATCCTGATTTGATTATCACACATTGTATGCATGTATTGAAATATAACTCTGTACCCCATAAATAAGTATGATCAATACATGTCAATTAAAAAATGTAAATATTTTTTAAATGGGCAAAGAGCCTGAATAGACATTTCCCAAAAGAAAACATACACATGTCCAACAGCTATATGAAAAAAATCTCAACACCACTAATCATCAACAAAATGCAAATTAAGGGCCGGCCTGGTGGTGCACTGCTACAGTGCGCCGCTTGGGAGTGCGGCGGCGCTCCCGCCGAGGGTTCAGATCCCACATACAGACCGGTTCCCGCTCACTGGCTGAGTGAGGTGCGGGCGCAGCACCGAGGGTTGCGATCCATTGCTGGACACAAAAAAAGACAAAAAGGAAGAAAAATGCAAATTAAACCATAATGAGACATCACTTCACACCTGTTAGAATGGCTATACTCAAAAATATGAAAAATAAGTGTTGATGAGAATGAGGAGAAAAGGAAACCTTTGTACACTGTTGCTGGGAATGTAAATTAGTACAGCCATTATGTAAAATAATATGGAGGTTCCTTAAAAAATTAAAAGTTGAACTAACGGATGATCCAGCAATCCCACTACTGGGTATATATTCAAAGGAAATGAAGTCATTATGTCATAGAGATGTCTGCCCTCCCATGTTCATTGCAGCATTAGTCACAGTAGCCAAGATAATGGAATCAAGCTAAGTGCCCACCAATGGATGTATGGATTTTTAAAATGTGGTATATATCCACAATGGAATACTATTCAGCCTTATGAAAGAAGGAAATCCTGCCATTTATAACAACATGCATGAACTTGGAGGACATTGTGCTAAGTGAAACAAGCTGGGTACAAAAATGCATATACAGCATGATTTCACTTATATGTGGAATTTAAAAGTTGAACTCATAGAAACAGAGAACAGAACAGTGTTTACAGGGGCTGAGCTGGGGGGCAGGTGTGAAGATAATTGTCAAAGAATACAAAATTTCAGTTAGGCAGGAAGAATAAGTTTAAGAGATCTATTGTACAGCATAGTGACTATAGTTAACTATTTTATTCTTGAACATTGCTAAGAGAGCTGTGTTTAAGTGCTCTCACTATGAAAAATAGTCAGTATGTGATCTAACGTATATGTTTTTAAAATTATATGTTAATTAGCTTGAATTAGCCATTTCATAATGTAAACATATTTTTTAATTTTTATTTATTTTTTTATTGGTTATGAATATTCTTGGGGCACAAAGCTAATTGTTACCACTCATGCCTAAGATGTGATGGCCAGATCCACACTGGCAGCACGCCAATTACCACAAATTGTGATTATACCCCATGTCCCCCACCCAGTTATCCCCACCCACTCTCCCCCTCCCCCTTTCCCCACTCCACTTTGTATCCCTAGGTATGTTCTCTCCCTCTGCAAGTCCAATGCACCACTGTGGTCTCTCTTTCCTTCCTTCTTTCTCTCTTAGCTCCCTTGTGACTGGCTACTTTTTTTGTTGTTTTATAAATAAATTACTTTATTAATTGACACATAAAATGTATATATTTATCATATACAACATGATGTTTTTAGAACATGTTTGTTTTATTTCTTTATAAAGACAAAATAGCTAGTCACAAATAGGAAAATACTGTATGCGTCCATTTACATGAAGTACTAAGTACTCAAATTCATAGACATGGAAATTAGAATGATGGTTGCCAGGGGAAGTGGGGTGGGGGAAATAAGTACCTGCTGCTTAAAGGCATAGTGTTTTATTTTTGCAAGATAAAAAGGGTTCTGGAGATCGGTTGCACAACAATGTGGATGTGCTTAACACTATTGAACTCTACATGTGAAAATGTTAACGATGATAAATTTTATGAAATGTATATTTTAGCACAATTTAAGAGAAAGTCACATGCATGTGACCACTCCTGATTTTACCCCTGCAGAAAGGCATTCTCCCTTAAATTCCAAACTTGTATATCCAAGTGCCTCTCTCAGCTCACCTTGTGGATGCCCAATAGACAAATTAAAAACATATCCAAAACCCTGATATAATCTCCCACATATGCTTTACCCATAGTGTTTTCTATCACAGCTGATGACTTTTCCATTGTTTTAGGTGCTCGAGCCAAAAATCTTGGCATCATCTTAATTTTGCATTATCTCCCACATCCTGTGCACAGTCTTTCAGAAAGCACTTTTGTCTATATTATCAAAATATATCCAATGTCCAGCCAAATCTCACCAGCTTTGCTATTACCACCATAGTCCATTATTTTGGGATGATTAGAACAGCACCAACCTAGGGTACCCTGAGTGTGCCTTTGCCATCATGAGGTCGCTTGTACAATCTCCCTCAAGCTTCCTCTTTGTTTTCATCGTTACCATTATCCCATCGCTCATTCTGTTTCAGTCATATTCTATTCTCTCTCTCTCCCCCTCCACCCCCCCCCTCTTTTATAGGTGGCTGGCAAGTATGGCGATCTGAACCCATGACCTTGGTGTAATAACACCATGCTCTAACCAACTGAGATAACCTGCCAGCCCTCAGCCATACTGAACTCCCTTTCTATTATTGAGCCCACCGGGTACTCTTCCACCTCAGGGCCTTTGCACCTGCCTGCACCTGCCATTCTTTCTCCCTGTAAGTTCTTCTACCAGATATATGCATGCATTCTTCCCCATCCTCTGTTTTCTTCAGAAGTCACCTTCTGAGTGAGGCCTGTTATAAGTTGTATCATATCTTCCCACATGCCAATTCCCCTTTTATGCTCTATTTTTTTCTCCCTAACATTCATAACCATCTGACACACTGTATACTTTACATATTTATTTGTTCAGTTTGTCTTCCAAATTTCCAATGTGGACTCTAAGCTCTATAAGGGTAAGAACATTTTATTTTCTATTTTCTTCGGGGCTGTATTTTTAACTTTTAGAGGGTCTGACCTATAGACACCTGACTCCAGAGGTTAGCAAAAATATTTGTTAATTATTCTGCCTCATTATACACTTTTCCCCTTACACTGCTCAGCACCCATTAGAATTTTGCACAGTTTAAGAAATTAGGTTTTTCTTCAATTGAGAAAATTTTTTGGTGCTCTTTATCTGCAAATATCATTTCTTTGGGATTCTTTTGCTCATGTATAAACACATGAACATACTGAATTCTTTGTAGATGAAAATTTTAAATTAATATTAACATGAAGTACCAACACCACGTATTAAGTGAGTGAAATCTAACTTAAGTTACTGAGATGATACTTGCCTATTAATGCTTTCTGATGACATTGTAATTTCCCACAACTTTATGACAGATCAAAAGCCACAGTTTCAGCCCCAAATCCCCTGCATGAAAAAAAAGTATGTGGAAACTACCATGAAATTTTTGAAAAATAAGGTTATGAAAATTTAAAACGGAAGTAACAGATCAGTTTGTATTGATCCAAGACAGAATTGTCACAGAGAATATATTAGAATCTATTGTATAAAATATACAGAAGGAAGATTAAAGTTCTGGAAACATTTGATTGCTCAGAGAAAAATTCTTGATTTCTTTCATTTTTAGTGTAACTTAGTTATATTTCTAATACATTATTTATTTATACCCACATATATAAACTATATTTTTCATTCCCAAGATTGGTTTTAGAATTTCTGATAGCACTGACTATATAGTGATGCCTTCATTTATATGTAAGAAGACTGGAATATGCTAGAGAAGGATGGTGTATCCAGGTGTGCAAGGCATGTGAAATGGAGATGAGCAGACTCAGATGGAGAAGTGCAGGGGCGTGGTGCATAGCTGGCCTCATGGAGTCAGGGAAGCAGCCACCTTGATCCCTTCCTGCTGGAGTTTTGCCCTGTATAGACTGATAGTACCCTGGGATCACAGTGACAGTAAAATTGCTTGGCTAATGAGGAACTTTAGATATTGAGCCTCTAGGGATACAGAGACTGCAAGGTGCCTGTGGCCACCTCATTCCGCCGTCCTTCCCCAGCAAAGAAGTAGCACACGTGACCTTCCTCCCACAGATGATCCTTCCTGGCCAGAAGTCCGGTGCCTCACTCAGTCCCTCTTTCCTTCCTGAGGACACATCTTCCATATAATACACCAGAGATGCCAAGCTCTTTTAAAAGCAACAAAATAATACATTTATGGAAGTCAGCCCCCTGGCATTCCCCTCCATCGGTCTTCTTCCCTTCCCAGGATGGCATTTACCTGTGATGCAGCTCCCGTTGCAGGTCTAGTTAACACACATTTGATTGTCTTCTCTATTTTACCCCATTTTATCTATCAGATTCATTAACAACATGAACCCCAGAAACCAAACAGCCTTTTCAGAATTTGTTCTCTTGGAGGTGACAGAAGATCCAGAACTGCAGCCCCTCCTCTTCAGCCTCTTCCTGATGATGTACCTGGTCACCATCCTGGGAAACCTGCTCATCATCCTGGCTGTCGTCTCTGATGCACACCTGCACACACCCACGTACTTCTTTCTCTCCAACCTGTCCTTTGTTGACATTTGTTTAAGTACAACCATAATCACAAAGATGCTGGTGAACATGCCAAAACAGAGTCAAAGTGTCACTTATACAGGCTGCCTCACCCAGATCTGCCTTGTCCTGGTTTTTGGTGGCTTGGAAAATTGTCTCCTTGCAGCCATGGCCTATGACCGCTACATGGCCATTTGTCACCCTCTGAGGTACACAGTCGTCGTGAACCTCCGCCTCTGCAGTCTGCTGATTCTGTTCTCCATGTTTGTTAGCATCGGGGATGCCCTGATCCACAGCCTGATGGTGCTGCGGCTGTCCTTCTGCACAGACCTGGAAATCCCCCTCTTCTTCTGTGAAGTTGTTCAGGTCATCAATCTTGCCTGTTCTGATACCTTCATCAATAATATTCTGATATATATTGCAGCTGGCATATTTGGTGGTGTTTCTCTTTCTGGAATTATTTTCTCTTATGCTAGAATTGTCTCTTCTGTTATGAGAATGCCATCAGTAGGAGGAAAATATAAAGCTTTTTCCACCTGTGGGTCTCACCTCTCAGTTGTGTCCTTGTTCTATGGGACAGGTTTTGGGGTGTACATTAGTTCTGCATTTACAAATTCTTCCAGGAAGAGTGCAATAGCTTCAATGATGTACACTGTGGTCACTCCCATGATGAACCCCTTTATCTATAGCCTGAGGAACAGGGACCTGAAGGGAGCCTTGAGGAAATTCACTGGTAGGATACTTTCTTTTTTGTGATTGTGTCATCTGCTTTGTGATAGGGATTCATAGTGAGTCAAAGAGAAATTCTCAGTGAGCCAGAATGCCAGACTTCTGCATTAGGAAGTTCTGAAAGGAGTTAATGACATAATGGGTAAATTTATTTCAACTTGGCATTGACACCTGTCATGCCCTTTGTATGGCTCTGTGATATTTCAAAAATAAATTCCATTCTCTAGCTCAGTTTCTTTGATTGGAGTTTATGGAATCTGAGCCTGAGGCAAGGGTTATAGTGATTCTGTTGGAACATTCAAGGATGAAGGAAAAATGGAGAAATTGGACAGGTCATTGAAAGGACTCAAAGAAAGATGTGATTGTAGTGGAGACTTCTGCCTTATTCCACTCTTAGACACATGTGAATTGCACCCCAGAAACACGGGAGTGATTTTCCATGCCACAGTTCAGTAGTTCTGGAGACTGGTCACTGGTAAATTGTACGTGTGTCATGCAGCTTCAGCATCCACTACACTCAGTCTTATCATCTACAGAGTTTCTACAGCTAGATTAGCTCAGTGATGGGAGACGATTTGAGACCTCTGATAATCATTGGTTAGGAAGCCTTTGTTTCTTTCTAATAAGAGAAAGTAATCCTGACTCTAATATGCACAAACAGTAAAGAGAGTTACCTGTAATTACAAGGACTTCAGAGATAGTGGACATAGAAGAAAATCCATTTACTCCTCCATGCGGTGGTTTTATCCTAGAGCTGTTTCCCCTCATGGACCCAGATGGCTGCAATAGAGGCAGACTTATGCAGACATGCCCAGAGACAGAAACCTGACCATCCTTCCCCAGGTCTATTCATAAGTGACATTGCACAGAGTCATCCAAAATGTATCTTCTTCATCTTACCAACTGTATTTGAATAATACGCCACTTCTTAAGGTAATTCCTCGGTGTGAAGAAAACAATTTCTAAGAGATACTTTGACTGACCATGTGGAATGTAATTCCTGTTGGAAAGTTCACTTCCATAAGTACTACAAACACTTAGTAGAATTCCTCACACCTACTAAGTACTCAGTAAAATTTAACTGGCATTATTTTATTCCTTATTTTGCCTATATGCAGAATCTTGTAATGCTACTGGTCTGGTATATCTTTACCACTTGTCTCAGTAGTTAGGTTTGTTTTTGTTCATTGCTATATTTATTAGCTGCTTTTCTGGTCTGAATAACATAATAAAATAAATAATTGTTAGGTAACCATGAAAAGGTTCTAGTGGTCTGGCATCTTATTTGCTTTGAAACCTTCCCAGAACTTATTTGTAAGAATGTATATGGTTTTTCACTTTCTCTTTAGTCACCTTTTTATACTGTGTTTTTTCTTCTTTTTTTTTAAATCTTGCTGTTGGAGTCTACATAGAAAACATTGAATAAAATTGATTGTTTCATTGATATGTTTGGCTGCAGTCTTAGGGCTCTCATGCAAAACATTTTTAGGTGCCTTCATGAGGAATGTTATCCTATGGAGAAGTACTTTAGTTTGAGATGGATATCTTGACTGTAAGTGAAGATGGGAGAAAAGGAAAACTGGCAAGATTAGGGACATCACTCTCTCCATATGCACACAAATTTGGGGGCCATAAATCAGAATTGTCTTTGTGGGTATGAGGGTTAAAACTATGGTGGTCTCAAAGGGGAATCGAAGGAGTGGCTAGAGAGCCTTCTGTGTGATCATTCCTGGAGGTCGAGGGGCTGCTGTTATTTTCAGCACCACATCTAGGAAACAGCTCCTTGTCTGGCTCCCAAGTTGTCTTCCCTGCAGAGCTTCCTCCATTGACATATATGGAACACCTGCAGAGATAAGTCACCTGATGCTTTTTCTCAGAGGACTGGATCCCATTCCTTACCCAAGATCTACTGACTTTGAATCTAGGGATACATGTGAGGGACAAGCATTGTTAGTAAGCACTGTGTCAGATTCTGATGCTCTCTGAAGTCTGAGATGCATGACTTTCCCATCAGAAGAACTTCAGCTAATGTATTTCAAATTTGAAATATGGACTCACTGTGCCCAATTTTACTTGTTAAAATAGTATGCACAAAGTTATGCATAAAATCTATCTGTAATTTTGAAAGAATAGTAACATAACATCACCATAGTGTTTACCTGAAGAGTCTCTTAATCACAGTGGTATATTCACTGCAAGTAGCAATCATTATTCTAAATTCCATATTTATCATTTTTTATGTTCTTCTACAAGGTTGAAATCTATGAAAGAAATTATCAGTATTTGATTATATTTGCCCAGTGGAAATTGCAATAGGATTAAATGCCATTGTCATATCACCTTTGTATGTATTCCTGTCCAATTTATATATTGGCTTCTTTAAAACTTGTGAAAAGTTCAATACTAATGTTTGAATTTTGTGTTCTGAATGTTTTTACATTATTGCACTTTAAAGATTCAATCATGTTAATGGGTGTAGCAGTATTTAATTTATTTTTAATACTGTATATTTTTACATTATGTATGGTGACTTTTCAAAATTGGTATTCTTTCTGATAGTGATAGACATTTTGGTGGTTAATATTTTTCTACTATTATGAATAAATCTTTTAAATATTCTTGTATATGTCTCCTAATGGAAATAAAAAAAGTTTTATACTTGAGGTAGAATATTCAGTGTAACAGAGTATCTATTCTTTGAATAGTTCCAAGTAGTTTTCCTTAGCGGGTGAATCACTTCTCATACACATTAAAAGTTCCTGGTGATCCACATAATCACTAACAGTTTTTCATTCATGTTGACAACCTAGTGGGTTTTATTTTTATTTTTTTCTAGAATTCTTTTGGAAGCCTACTTTAACTCACAGATGGTAATGATACAGTTGATAACACCAGTTTTTAGGAGGTTGGAGAGAAGGTGGGAAAATTCATTATGGCTATGAAGAAAAAAATTAATCTTTGTGAAATATTTTTTCATTCAAATGGCTCTTCTGAAGCATATTCTACCATAGAAAAAAACTGCTAATTAGAGCACAGATACTTAGGTAAGAACTTTAATTCGGCATAAAACACACCCCTCACATTACTGTTTGCAGGATTTTTTTTTTTTGCAATTAAGTAATGAATCTATTCAAGAAAATCAAAAGGTTTTTAAAAATATTTATTTATTACAAATATTCATGTGATACAAGCTGATTGTACCCCTCCTGCCCCGGATATGAGGACCAGATTCATACTGGGGGCATTCTCATTACCAGAAATTACTTTTGTACCCTTTGCCTGCTCCCAATTATCCCCAAACCTCCCCCCTTCCCCTTCCCCTGCCCTCCAATTTGCAGCCCTAGGAATGTTCCCTCCCTCTGTTGGATCACAGCACTACTGTGGTCTTTCTATCCTGCCTTCTTTTCTCTCTTAGCTCCCACTTATGAGTGACCACATGAGGTATTTATCTCTCTGTGCTTTGCTTGTTTCACTCAACATAAGTTTCTCCAGACTCATCCACATCATTGCAAATGGGAGTACTTCATTCTTTTCTATGGCAGAGTAGTATTCCATAGCATATGTATACCACAGTTTCTTTATCCAATCAGCTATTGGTGGACATTTAGGTTGGTTCCATATCTTGGCTATTGCAAACAGAGCTGCAGTAAAATTGGGAGTGCAGGTATCTCTTCAACATGACAATTTCCATTCCTCTGGACATATACCCAGAAGAGGGATTGCTGGATCATATGGAAGATCTATCTGTAGTTGTTTGAGAAACCTCCAAATCATTTTCCAAAGTGGTTGTACTAATCCCACCAACAGTGCAGCAGTGTTCCTTCTTTCCACACCCTCACTAGCATTTGTTATTCAGTGTCTTTTTGATTGTAGCCAGTCTAACGTGAGTGAGGTGGTATCTCAAAGAAGTTTTAATTTGCATTTTCCGGATGACTAGTGATTTTGAGCATTTTTTTCATGTATCTGTTGGCCATTTGTATGTCTTCCTTTTTAAAAAGTCTATTCAGCTCCTTTGCCCATTTTTTAATTGGGTCATTTAATTTTTTACTGTATAATTGCTTAAGTTCTACGTATATTCTGGATATTAATCCCTTGTTCGATACATAGTTAGCAAAAATTTTCTCCCACTCTGTAGGTTGTCTTTTCACTCTGTTGATTGTTTCTTTTGCAATGACAAAACTTTTTTAGTTTGATATAGTCCCATTTGTTTACTTTTTCTGTTGCTGCTTGTGCTTTTGGGCCCAAGTTCATAAAGCCTCTGCCCTCACCAAACTGCTGAAGTGTTTCACCTAGATTTTCCCTTAGTAATTTTACAGTTTCAGGTCTTATACGTAGGTCTTTAATCCATTTTGAAATGAATTAAGTGTATGGTGAGAGATGCATATCTAGGTTCATTCTTCTGCATATGGATATCCAGTTTTCCCAGAACCACTTGTTGAAGAGGGAATCTTTTCCCCAAGTAGATTTTTGTTGCCTTTGTCTAATATCAGAAGGCTATAAGCCTGAGGAGTGATTTCTGGGCTCTCTATTCTATTTCACTCATCTGAATGTCTATTTTTATACCAGTACCATGCTGTTTTGGTTACAACAGCTTTGTAATATAATTTTAAGTCAGGCAGAGTATTGCCTCCAACTTTGTTGTTTTTGCTCAGGATTGCTTTGGGTATTCAGGGTCTTTTGTTTTTCCATATGAAAGGTAAGATTGTTTTTTTGAAATTCTGTGATAAATGTCACTGGCATTTTGATGGGGATTGTGTTGAATCTGTAGATCACTTTGGGTAGTACAGACATTTTCACAAAGTTAATTCTTCCAATCCAAGAGAATGGAACATTTTTCTATCTTTTTGTGTCTTTTTAATTCCTTTCAGAAGTGGTTTGCAATTCTCATTGTAGAGGTCTTTCACCTCCTTGGTTAAATTGATCCTTAGGTATCATATTTTTTTGGTGACAATTGTAAATGGGCTTACTTTCTTTATTTCTCTTTATGTTAATTCATTAGCTGATTATGTAAATGCTACTGAATTGGA